TTTGACACAAAAGTCGAGTAGTAAATTTTTGTGATACCATGCAAAGCTGATTTTTAGTTAGCTTCTCCAAATCCTTTTTCTGGATTCATGGTAACTGTTTGGGCAGCTTCGCAATCCAACACTGTTGAAATCCTTAGCTGCTTCTACACCTGAAAATCCCGAGGTTGTTTCCTCGGGGAAAACACTCCGACGCTCAAGTCAGCAATACTCGATATTCTAAAGAGAGATGCTCTCAAGGAGTAATTGCAGAGAGAGAAGCGTAGAGATTAATTACCTTCTTCAGAGATGGTTGGGGGGTATTTATAGCCCCAAGTGCTGACATGTATCTGCACATGTAAGCCTCTCATTGGCCCACGTGGTGCTGCCCACGTGGGTATGTCTCCTCCTCTTGGGCCTGTGGGTGCGTAGTTGGGCCTACTGCATGTGGCCCTAAGAGGGCGTTGGGCCTAATCCCAACATTACTCCCCCCTCGGTGTTCGGTTGACGAACTGGGTTGGGAGTCTTGTTAGCACGGTGTTTGACCCTGCGGATGAGGAGTGATACTTTGTGTTCCTGACCGGCCTCATGGACGGTCGATATGGGCAGCGTGAAACCAGAGTGGTCACCTGCCGACCTCCTGCAGAGCAGGCGCGAGTAAGCGGGTGGTCAGGCAAGGCTAGCTCAGCCTGATTAGTGAGCTGAGCGGATGCGCATGGACGACCTCGTCTAAACGAGCTAGCGTATAGTGAACGAGCTGAAGCAGCTGACCCGTACGGGTTGATATGGGTGACCTTAGCCATCACCGTAATATAAATATGTAGGGGCAGAGCTGATCTGACGTTTGATGTTTGGAACTAAGGTGAATCTTTGATTTGTTACGATCTGATCTCGACAAAGTTTCGAGCTTGAAGTCTCTAATTTGTTACGATCTGATCAAGTTTGAAATCTCTGGAGAGATCGTGGGTCAGTTATGAGCAGGTTTCTCGAACTTTTCAAATTTTGAATTAGGACAGATCTCTGAGGAAATTTTGTTACGAGCTGGTCGAAATCTCTGGAGAGATCATGAATCAGTTACGAGCAGAGAGCAGATTTCTCGAACTTTTCAAATTTTGAATTAGGACAGATCTCTGAGGAAATTTTGTTACGAGCTGGTCTCTCTGGAGATTTGTTACGAGCAGGTCCTTGCCACTTTTTGAATTTTAAATCTGCGAAATCTCTAAAGAGATATGGTTCAGAGCGGTTAGTATTCTCAATCGCCCCCTAATAAATGCTGGCTCAGTGTTTGAAGAGACGTGACTGTTAAAGTCGGCGGACGTTACACGCCAAGCAATAAGTGCCTGCCACGCGTAAGATTTTGGTTGGTTACCAGATAAGCGTGTATAGTAATGATGAGCACGGTCACTTAACCCCTCTGTCACCTCTGTCCTTGCTTTTGCATTCCATTTCCATATTCTCTACATTCCTCTGTGACAAAGGACGTCCAAAATTTTCAGGCGACATTCTTAGTTTCTCAGAGTTAGCTTTTCAGGTAATAACAAATGGACTTTGTTAGCGAAATAGGAGAACTCCGGGGTAACCAGGGTATGGAAGGGGAAGAGAACGTGATAGCCGTAGAACCCATTACCATGATTGTACCACCGGAACTGCAAGACGTGCCGGAAACCCCTACGCCGGAGAGCAGTGCCAGTTCAGGCGCGCGCAAGGGTTCTGGTGCTAACCCCTCTCCGTCATCTGAAAGGTTGTCATCAGAAAACACTGCCAGTGCAAGTAGCCCCTTGCCTGAAAGTATGGAGGTGGCCGTAAATGTGTCTCCGGTTGCAAGTTGGGAAAATAAAACCATAGGTGGCAGGTTGAGCAACCTTCGCAAAGCGCCAAATACGCTGACGGCCAGATTTCGGTTTAGGGCGAACCTGCATCATGAGGTAGCAGATTGCCCTACCTCCATTAAAGGGTATAAGAGACTGGAGGAAGTGGTGAGACAGTACCACGTTCCTAGGACAGTTTTGTTACGAACGGGGACCAAAAATGAGAGGGCCTGCAGTGTGTCAGCAACAGGGTGGATACTTGTATATGTAGACCATTTCGACGCCGGCCTGAGATTCCCATTATCCGGGCTGATTTTTGACATTCTGTCAGAGTACGAGCTGGCGCTCACACAGTTAACTCCCAACAGTATAAAATTTGTCGTAGGGTTTATGCTGCTGTGTGCAAGGTTGGAGATACCTGCGAAGGCCATTGTTTTCAGGTTGCTATTTTTGTGCCGGCTGAGTACTACACAGACGAGGTGGTACTACATTTCTGGGCGAGAGAAAATGGCGATCTTTAAGAACATAAGGAATAAGGTGTCTCCTTGGAAGAGACAATTTATCTTTGTCCGGGATACACGAGCAGAGAGGGTTAGCACCGATCTGGCAGCTTGTCTCTCTGAGTGGCGCCCAGGGCATGCGTACATGAACTACCCCACACTAACCCCGGGCGACCTGGAGCTTAGGGATAGGATCACTAATTATGTGAAGGGAGGGGGGTTAGTTGATTTGGAAGCCCTGGTTACCCCTGAGCTGCTCGCTTTGCGTGGGTTTGTGGATATCACAAACCTGTTTAGTGAAGGTACAACTCTATTGTCAATTACTTTTTTCACGAGCTGAGTCTTATTGCACGTGTTTGTGCAGGAGAGATGAGTAGCATGCTTGAGAGACAACGGGAACGAGCTCAGCGCTCTCGAGGCAGGGGAACTGGGTCTAGCTCAAGGAGACAAACGCGCTTTGACGAGCTGCCGCCTGCAGCACCCCGCAGCTCGTCACAAAGGGAACAGGGTTCCAGCTCGGCCTCGCGGCCACAGGCCGAGCGCAGAGTAGACGCTGCTCCTGCTGATGTTTGGAGGCGTGTTCGCGAAGAGTCTGATGCTGAAGATGACGTACCACTGACTCGGCGCAAGTTGGATGCTGGGAGACAACCTGGAGTGGTGCGCTCACCTGAGGTGCCTACGGTCCAGGCGCGTAGCACGGCTGAGGCGCTTCCACCACCAGCAGCTAGTGGGGGGCCCAGAATCGCATACCCTGAGGGTTTTAGCTACACTAAACCCGACTGTCAGCTCGCGATGGTCCAGGGTATGCAGAATTTCGTCCCACTTGTGGACCGTCATCGCGCCAAAGGTTACATTCAGCAACACGGGACTCACGCTGCGATGCTGAAGATGATGGATGTGAGTATTGTGCTTGACGAACATATTTTTGTTGTAATTTTGGAGTAAAAACTGACTGTAGACATGTTGCAGGCGTTAAGCTATTCTGTAGCTCTATTCGAGAACGAGCAGGCAGCTCGAATACAGAATAGAGAGCTGGCTGACAGCTGCAAGCGGTTGTCCTCAAACAAGGCGAGCTTGGAGGACAAGGTGAACCGGTTGCAGAGCTCCGAGATGGCCAACAGGGCTGCCTCAGCCGAAAGCTGGGCTGACGAGCTGGCCAAGAAGGTCAACTAGCTGCAGGAGGAGCTGGACAAGGTGAAGGCTGAGAAGGAGAGTGGAATCCAGGCGACCATGGATGAGGTCGTTCATGCGGTAGATCGCACAAAGAAAGCTGAAGCTGAACGAGATGGTGCGCTGAACGACCTCGACGCCCTAAGAAGGCGTGTGGCAGTGGCCGACTAGGACCTCGCTCGCGCAGAGGAGTCGTTGAAGAGGGCCAAAGCTGAACACCAGCACTGCATTAGCATCGCGCGAGCTCAAGGCGCGGAATGGCTGGTAGGTGCTGACATGTTCTAGGATGCCGTAGCTGTGGCATCCATGAACACCACGACTGAGATTTATAATGACGTTCGTGGTAAGGTGTTGAAGCATCGACCGGACTTCCCGATCAACGAGCTCATGTTTTTTGAAGGTGAAGAGTTCGACGCAAAGGGGAAGAGCCTTACTGCACCTTCTGACACGACGGTGAGGCTCCGCTGGGAGCTAAACGAAGAGGGATTGCCAACATGGCCACCGTCTGTCCTAGAAGAAGGGGAGGAGTTTGAGAACCTGCCGAGGTTCGACACCTGGGCTGGTGACGCTCCTGTAGAAGAGGCTGAACCCTCAAGTACTCCTCTTGCGCCTCAGCCCGTCCCTGCTGTCATCTCCATCCCAGCTCATGTTGACGCGTCCGCACCCGTGGACTTAACGGACGATTAGACTTAGGCTTTTTCTATTTCTTATACTTTTGCATTTTCAATATTTCCTTGTTGGAAACACATTTTGTAGTTTCATGGACACCTCATGTAATGAATTTGCAAAGAATACAATTGAAACGAATTTTGGAAAACTGTGTGTACTATTTCCAATAATTGCTCATACATTATTCAAATTTTCCACAATAATACAAATCAACTGTAAAATTTTCTAAGGTTCTGAACGTTCCATGTAAACGGTAACTGGCGCCCGTTCATGTCTGCTAATACGTAAGATCCAGGTCGGTTAACTTAAGCAACCATGTATGGACCTTCCCAATTAGGGGCGAGCTTGCCCATGTGGGAATATGTGTTAGTTAATCCAGCCTTACGTAATACTAGATCGCCAACCTGAAACTGACAAGCTCGGACTCTCTTATTGTAGAATCTTGCTACACGACCTTGGTGTGCCATGTTTCTAATTCGAGCCATTTCCCTGACTTCCTCCACTAGGTCTAGGTTCTCTCTTAAGAGTTGCCCATTATTCTGATCGTCATAACGATCTGATCTAGCAGATGGTAGCCCGACCTTGACAGGGATGACGGCCTCAGCTCCATATGCCAGGCTGAACGGGGTTTCGCCCGTGGCCGAGCTGGGTGTCGTGCGACATGACCAAAGTACTTTATTGAGCTCGTCAACCCAATTAGAACATGCGGATATAACACGTGTCTTGAGGCCTCGCAAAACGATCTTATTGGCAGACTCGGCTTGTCCGTTTGACTACGGGGTGTACACAGACGTCAAGGAGAGCTCAATGTCATAGTCGTTGCAGAACGATCTCAGTGCTGCTGCTCGGAACTGTGGTCCATTATCGGCGATAATCCGCTGAGGTATGCCGAACCTGCACACAGATGACCGAGCTGAGCTAGGAACTACGTTTGCATATATTTTATTTATGACTTAAGCCACCAAAGAATACCTGCACAATATTGAATTGAACAAGAATTCTTCTATTTTCCTTTCCGTTGTCGTGGACAATGCTTTAGCTTCTATCCATTTAGTAAAGTAATCCACTGCAACGACCAGGAAAGTGCAGCCTCTTTTGCCTTTGATGAAAGGGCCTAGCAGGTCGACACCACATTGAGCAAAGGGCCAGGGAGACGTAAGAGATGATAGCATTTCCCCTGTTTCAAGGAAGATACTTATGCTCAGTTTATAGACAAACAGGAAGTTTGCATGGTCTTTAGAACAAGCTCAGATACCTGGCATGTGTATATCATCAGCATTGAACTGGCAGGTCGGACATTTTTTGACATAGTCCTGCGCGTCCTCAACCATAGTGGGCCAGTAATAACCATGCCTCAGGAGTTTCCGAGCTAAAGTTTTGCCACCGATGTGCGTGCCGCATACTCCTTCGTGAACCTCCCTCACAGCGTATTCAGCTTCATAAGGAGTAAGGCAGCGTAATAGGGGCATTGAGGCTGCTCGTTTGTAGAGCTGGTTATCTATCAAAGTGAAATGTGCCGCCCTACGTTTAATCACTTTTGCAATGGACAGGTCTTCAGGTAGCTCGCCACTTTGTAGATAATTTATGAGCGGGGTGGTCCAACTCGGTGTAGAGGGATTTGTGCTTAACAGTTGACACTCGACTGCGAAATCAGTGTAGCTCGGTGCATCGAGTACCTCGACAATTGTTGACCTTTGAGGATTAACGTCCTACGAGGAGGCCAACTTTGACAGCTCGTCAGCTCGGTGGTTATCTGCTCTTGGTATTTTATCCATTTGGAAAAGGGCAAATAGCGACTTCAATCTGTTGACCACAGAGGCATAACGACTGAGCTGGGGATCCCCGATGTCACAACTGCCATTCACCTAGCCCACAACGAGCTGAGAGTCGCTAAAGACCTGAATGCTTTGTACTTTCAGCTCGGACGCCAGCTTCAGTCCGTAAATGAGGGCTTCATATTCTGCAGCGTTATTGGTCGTCTGAAACTTAAACCTCAGTGCGTGCTCGGATTTAAAGCCATCTGGGCCCAGTAACACAGCCCCAGCACCCAACCCTTCAATGTTAGCTGCTCCATCAACATACAAAACCCAGACTAGGTGTTCGGGTGCTTTTTCTTCCTTAATTGCTGAGATGCATTCCACTAGAAAGTCCGCAACGGCTTAGCCTTTTATGGTTGTGCGCGGCCGAAATTTCAGGTCATATTCACTCAGCTCGACACTCCACCCAATAAGCCGACTAGAGAGTTCAGGTTTTTGCAGTATTTTTCTCAATGGTAAATCGGTATAAACAACAATCTGGTGCGATTGGAAGTAAGCCCTCAATCTACGAGCTGTGTAAACCAGGGCAAAAGCAGCCTTTTCTGCTAGTGGGTAATTCTGCTCGGCACCCTGCAAAACCTTGCTCACATAGCAAATGGGCTTCTGGTTTTTATTCTCTTCCCTGAGCAGAACTGAGCTCACTGCCTCTTTTGTAACCCCCAGGTACATGCATAAACTTTCCCCTTCCGCGGGCTTGGATAGCATAGGTGCCGATGCCAGATACTGTTTGAGCTCGTCAAACGCCTATTGACATTCATCAGTCCACTGGAAGTTTTTAGGCTCTCGCAAAGCTTTAAAGAACGGGAGGCACCTTTCAGCCGACTTGGCTATAAACCTGTGCAATGCAGCTATACGACCTGTCAGACGCTGTACATCTTTTACAGTCTTGGGAGGCTCCATTTGTTGAACGGCCTGAACCTTCTCTGGATTCACTTCAATTCCTTTCTTGGATACCACGTATCCTAGGAATTTCCCTGATTCCACAACAAACGTGCATTTCATAGGGTTCAGCTTCATTTGCGCTCAGCGCAAATTTTGAAAGGTCTCACTCAGGTCGTCTATGTGGTCTTCAGCTCGCACGCTGGTGACTATCATGTCATCCACATACACTTCTATGTTTCTGCTAATCTGGAGCTTAAAGATGATTTGTACCAGCTTCTGATATGTAGCGCCAGCATTTTTCAGGCCGAATGGCATCATCACATAGCAATAAATAGCGTCACCTGCGTAGAAAGCTGTTTTCTCCTGGTCGTCCAACAACAACTGAACCTGATGATAACCTGAGCTGGCGTCAAGGAAGCTCATCCGTTCATGTCCTGCTGCCCGTTCTACTAACTTCTCGACGTTTGGCAAGGGATGAGGGTCTTTTGGACACCATCATTGAGGTTAGTGAAATCAATACACATCCTCCACTTGCCATTTGGCTTTTTGACGAGCACAGGGTTGGACACCCATTCAGAGTACTCCACTCTTCTGATAAAGCCTGCTTGTAACAACTTTTGTATCTCTTCGTCAATGGCAGCTTGCTTCTCGAGGCCAAAAAGGCGATGTTTTTGAACCACTGGGCTTTTAGTGGGGTCCGTGCTGAGCTTGTGGACTGCCAACTCCGCCGGAATGCCGGGCATTTCGTCCGTAGTCCACGCAAACATGTCCTGATTATTCTTCAGGAATTCCAGAAGTTTTGCTTGCTCTTCCCCTGTGAGCTTAGTGCCGATCTTCACCACTCTCTCCGGTACATCCGGGTTTAAAGACACTGTCTCCACTAGCTCTACTGGCTCTGCCTTCTGCTTAACGCCCTCAGGTCGATGCTCGATGTCTGATATACTCATTGTCTGTTGACCGAGCTGGGTTGGCTTACTGTTTTCAGAGCCTCTAGGGGCCACAGCGAGCTCAACCTTCTTAAACGTATCCTGATAATATGCCCTGGCCATCCTCTGATTCCCCTTTAGCACCCCTACTCCCTGAGGCGTTGGGAATTTCATGCAGAGATGGGGTTGTGAAATAACAGCCTTCAGCTCGCACAGAGTAGCCCTTCCTAATATGGCGTTGAAGGCTGACTCCATTTTGACGACCAGGAAGCTGACTGAAGTCATCCTAAAGCGCGGTTCTGAGCCCACATAGATGGGTAGAGTTATGACCCCTTCCACCGGGACGAGCTGATTATCAAACCCGTAGATGGGTCCCTCATATTTCTGCAACGAGCTCGGGTTCAACTGCATCTTCTGGAAGCAGCTCCATTAAAGGATATCTGGCGAGCTGCCCGTATCAATAAAGACCTTGTTGACGTTATGATTCCCTATATGGACCGTTGCTACAAATGGATCTGCATGAGGCATTACAACGTCGGGTTCTCCGTTTGCTCGCTTATAATCTGCCGGGCTGAATGTGATAGCTGCAGCCTCCCATTCTGCTTCCTTAAATGGTCGCTTCAAAGGTCGGTTTTTATTGACGGTCATCACCTGTCGGGCGTATGCCTTGCGGGCTCAGGCACTTTGGCCCCTTGAGTGCATACCGCCAGAGATCATATTGATTGTACCGGACGGCGGGGGTATCGCGCTACACCCAACTCCTCTTCTGTCCTTTTGGCTCTGGGCGGCAGGTCTCTGACCCTGGCCTCGCCTATTGAATTGGCGGCCCCTGTATGCTCTGCCCTGCTCGGAAAGGTATTGATTATCTTGATACATGTCCTGCGTGTTGCCGAGCTGGTACCTCTGCCCCTGAGGTCGGTCATACCCCTGCACGAAGTGGGTTTGAGCTGTTTGCTGGGTGTGAGGCTTTTGGACATACCCCTCTAGTTTCCCAGTGCGAGCTAAGAACTCCAGCTCGTCCTTTAAGTGTTGGCAGTCTTCTGTGTTGTGACCGTATACACGATGATAGTCACAATGCTTGCTCTTGTCTGCCCTCGGAGAATCATGCAACGGGGGTGGGGGCCTTCTAATCCAGTGTTGGATTTGTGCCAGAATTTGAGACCTTGGCAAGGTCAAAGGGACGTAGTTAGCATATTTTGGGAATTCAGCTGGCTTCCCCCACGGCTCATTGACTTTCTGCTTTTTCTTATCCTCTCTTCTTGGTAGCTATTCCTGGCCTTTGCTTTGTTTGTCATCAGCTCGTCGCTTCGACGACTGAAAGTCCTCTGATAGTATAAAGCTAGTTGACCTGTCATTGACTTCGTTCCACGTCTTTGGTGGATTTTCCAGTAAGTCATCTAGGAACCTGCCACGTTTCAGACTGTGCAGCAGGGCAGACAAGCAGATGGTATCAGGGACGTTATCGATCTCTAAAGTAGCTTTGTTAAATCGCTGCATGTAGTCCCTCAAAGATTCCCCCTCTTTCTGGTGAACTTGTATCAGCTCGGTCGCCGTGCGTTTAATCTCCCTGTGGCTTGCAAATTTGTTGGAGAACAGCTTGGCGAGCTGGGAGTATGAATCTATAGAGTGTCTGGGGAGTTTATGGTACCATCTTCTGGCTGTTGACTTTAGGGTTGCCGGGAACACTTTGCACATCATGGCATCGTTAGCATTTTGGATTCTCATGATGGCCTGATAGGTGTGTAAATGTTCATCCGGGTCACCCAAGCCGTCATACGTCTCTAAGTGGGGGATTTTGAATCCCTCTTGATACGGCTCTGCTGTGATGGATAAGTTTAGCGGGGCACTATCTAAATCCAGAGTCTGTTGATGCGACCTGGGACTTTTCAGCTCGTCAATAGACTTTTGTACGTCCTGTAGCTGTCTCTCAAGGTCTGCGTTCTTTCTCATCAGCTCTTCACTGTGTTTGGACGAGCTGGACTCGATATTCAGCTTCCCACTTCCCCTTGGCCTGGTCGGTACTATTATGTTGCTTAGAGCGGGGGAGTTTCGAGTTGCAACAACTGCAGCTGGTTGTGCATCCCTGTTCAACAAAGGAATCAGGGGGTCGTCAGGGATTAGGCGGGCAAGGATTTTACCCATTGCCATTTCGAGAACTCTGGTTCTCTCTTCGAGCTCGGTTGTCCGAGCAGGTTCTGTTGACCTTTCAGGTCGTTCATGCTGTGAATTGTGTGGTCTAGAAGGTCTTTGTCTTGTTCCTGTTGGAACTTGGAACTGTTCAGGCTGGGTTGCATACCCAGTTGGTGTTCATTCATCATCTGTTTCACTTAGGTGCTCCTGTTTGGCTCCCTCAACGAAGAGGTTTCTTGGCATTGGCCTAAAGTCATTCAAACCGGGCTTAGATACTTGAGCGTCCTCCTGTTCGTCCATCTCATTTCTTAGGGGGCGACCTCCTGTAAAAGTTCGAACCATTTTGTCTTTCAGCAGGTTAAGCTGCACAACTTCTTGTTCAGTTTCCCACAGACGGCGCCAAATGTTTGGGCAGCTTCGCAATCCAACACTGTTGAAATCCTTAGCTGCTTCTACACCTGAAAATCCCGAGGTTGTTTCCTCGGGGAAAACACTCCGACGCTCAAGT